TATATGAATATATATATATATAAATAATCATTCCTTAATTTCGTATTCATAATCAATTCATTATTTTGAAATATTTTAATTCAATTTAAGAAATACTCATATAGAAAAATAAAATTTATGAATAAATCTATAGAGAAAAATAAATTTCTATAAATAATATAAAGACTATTATAATAAATAAAATATTTCTAAAATATAGTAGTATAATCAATATCGATATTTAAAATTCATCATATTTATTTATTTCATCTCCCAGAAGATATAGGAAAAATAAAAATATATTTTATGTAGCCTGTCTAAGATAAGAAATAATATATATCCAAATATATATATATATATAATTTCTAAATAAAAGAATTAATATAAGAATTAATAATTAAAAAAGAAAATTTATCTCTAAATCACGATTTTTCGTCTTACCACAATAACGCCCCAAAATCCCCCTGCGCATGCAAGGACTTGACGGTTTGTGTCTTTCTGGTTTAGGGCTTAGGGGTCTAGTATACTGAACTTGTTACCCTTACAAAAACAGAAATAGCTCTTACTTCGGGGCTTAAACATAGTAAGCCAAAAAAGAAAAACGTTGTTTCCAAGCACCCCCCCTAAGTTGAAGGTCTGAGGCTGGAAACTAATCGTTCCATCCGGGTGAGGGCTTAGGGCTTAGGGTTTAGGNNGATTTAGGGTTTACGATTTAGGGTTTAGGGAACCTTCAGGCACTTTTCGTTCTGTTCTGTAGTTGGTCTTGTTTCTTTACAGGGTTGACGGGTTGAGGATCTATCTAGGGTTTGGGAAAGCTTAGGACGGTTAGGCGTCTGAAGCAAGCTATGAACCAGGCTTGCACGCCCAAACGGTCCTTTTGTACATCCTGTGCCGGACGTCACAGGCAAACTTTGTACACGGTGCCACCAGGCAAGGGAAGCTGCACTTGCTGGGGATTTCGCATTCAGGGTAAAGCCCGCACGAAAAGCTCTGCAGAATCCTCACAATGCCGAGATTCCCTGAACCTTCCAAATTTTACATACCCGTTTGGCGCTTCGCCTTTGCTTACAAGCCCCGAGATTCCAAGCTATGATTTGTGCACTAGTTCACATGTTCGCTGCGTCTCATCTCCACTCATGCCAGCTTTCCCATGCCATTGGTGCACCCTAAGGCATGAAGGTTTCAGGTTTTGAGTCATATGTAGCAAGTCAAGCTTGAACTCAAAGCTCTAAGACCTAAAATGTGGAGGGTTCAGAGATTTGGAACCACATCTTAGCATTATCATTATCAAACCCTAAACCCCAAACCGTCATCTTTTGCAGTTGCTTTGCTTCAGCTGCCTGCCATGGCAAGAAGGAAGTTCTCAGTTCTTCGTTGCACAGTCCACATTCAACATGGGTTTATTGGTTCGTTTGCAGCTTCTTTTGAGGCCACGATGAAGCTTCTATACGGGCAACACTCAGGTTTAGGGTTTAAGGGTTCAGCTGGGATTTACGGGCTAAGAGCCTAAACCCTAAACCCTAAACCCACAGAGCCTTAAGCACAGCAGGCCTCTGTATGCAAACCCTAAACCCCTAAGCTCTGAATCCTATCCTCAAGGCAAGGACTTGACTGACGGTTTAGGGTTTCGGGTTTGGGGCTTAGGGTTTAGGGTTTAGGGGTTTAGGGTTTTAGGGTTTTAGGGTTTAGGGTCTAGGGTTTCGGGTTTTAGGGTTTCGGGTTTGGGGTTTAGGGTTTTAGGGTTTAGGGTTTAGGGTTTGGGGCTTAGGGTTTTAGGGTTTATGGGGTTTAGGGTTTCGGGTTTGGTGTTTAGGGTGGTGCTGGAGCATATGAAGCTGGATTTGTGCCTGTACTCTCCCCAAAAGGAAGCCCAAACATACACTCCTACGGAGGTTTGGCGTACATGCACCAGTGCACTAACATAAACCTTACCTCAATTCCAGCTGGGGATTGAACCCTAAACCCTAAACCCTAAACCCTAAACCCTAAACCCTAAACCCTAAAGCCTAAGAGTTCCAAGTTTCAGGGCTATGGATTGAATGTGTAGGACTCAAAGGCTAAAGTCTACAGGCTTGAAATGGTTTAGGGTTTAGGGTTTAGGGTTTAGGGTCTCACTCCCCAAACAACAAGCCCAAGACCCTAAAACCTTCGGGATGAAGAGCGTGAGGATGTTGGGGATGCCATAAGCTATGAAACCTTCAATCTCAGCCCTAAACCCCCTGACCTAAACCCTTAACCCCTGAAGAACCCCGAGACCCCGAATCAAATCCCTAAACCCTGAACCCTAAACTCTAAACCCCTGAACCCTAAAGATCCTGAACCCTGAACCCTAAACCCCTGAACCCTAACGATCTGAACCCTAAACTCTAAACGCCTGAACCCTAACGATCCTGAACCCTAAACCCTAAGCCCCGGAACCCTAAGGATCTGAACCCTAGAACCCTAAAGATCCTGAACCCTAAACCCTAAACCCCGAAGCCCCGTAAGATGAAAGCTAAAGCCCAGGCGTCGGCCGAAAGTCGTTTCCGAGCTCTGGGCCATACGGTTTAGGGTTTAGGGTTTAGGGCATCTTCCGTTTAGGCTCCGGGCCTTTTTGGGTTTAGGGTTTGATCTTAGGGAAATGCCATCTTCCGTTTAGGCTCAGTTTGGCTCAAGGCCTTTTTGGGTTTAGGGTTTGATCTTTACGTTTTTGCTTGTTCAGGGCCTTTTTGGTGTGTAGAGCTTAAGGTTCAGGGATGAGGGTTTTCCAAAGCCTGCAGTTAGTTTACAGCACAGCAATATTATGGATTTGAAAGCATGCATACATGGGTAGTTGTCAAAATTAGGGTCCCTTTTTGGGGTACCCTAAATAATAGGTGCCGTACTATAATAAGGACCCCAAAAAAGGACCATAAGTTTGACAACCACCCACATGGAGCCTGAGGGTTCGACCAAGCATTGCCCAACCAGCGACTTGATGTGGCTGTCCCCAAGCTTCTATACTGAACTTAGGCCCCTAGCACAAATTAGAATTTTAGCTGCTTCTTAGGGTTTATAGTAGCCAAAGATTCAAAATTATTTCTAAGTACCCCCAAGTTTGGGCGGTCGCCGGTGCCACCGGCATCGCCCTGAGTGCAGCCATTGATGCACCGAGAAGTGCCTCGGTGCGTAAAATGAAGTTTCGGGCATCGACCTGCGCTGGGATTGTTGAGCAAGGGCGGGAGAGCAGCTGCGTTCAAAGAAATGGCGACGAGTGGCGAATGGCAGCACAGGACTCCAATCTCTGCTACCCATAGGCCCCATAGTAGTTCCTTTTTGGGGTTACCTTATAGGGTTCTATATATGAACCCTAAAAAGGAACAGCTTTAGGGCCTATGGGTAATTTCATCATCCGTTCTTCCAACCTGATGGCGGGTCGTGAGCAGGTTACAAGGCGTTGATTTTGCAGAAAGCCTCACCAAACGGGCGGCACCTGCAGTTTTGCCGCAGGACGACACTCGGGCCTGCCCCCTGGCCGAACTTCACGGTTTACGGATTTATATAGGGTTTAGGGTTTATCAGGGTTTAGGATACTGCGCTACACTGACAAAACAACCTTCACTACACATGCACAAGATCAGCGAATGTGCAAATCGTGGTAGGACGGCCTGGGCCGGACGAAGCCATGCAGCAAAACAAGGGAAACCCTACGATGTTTAGAACATGTTTGTCGCCCCAAGGACTAACTTCTCAACCCAAAAAAATACTAAGCCCTGAACTTTAACACGCCGATGCTTCAGATGCCCAAAGTCATGGACCCGACCGGTGACCTAGCACGGCGCGCCGCCGAGCCGCGAGCTTTGGCGCCTGCGCTGTTCATGCTCTTAGTAGGGATGTGAGTTAAGGGCTTCCGGGTTTAGAGTTTAGGGTTTAGGGTTTAGGCTTCAGGGTTTAGGGTAGGGATGTAAGCTAAGGGCTTCGGGGTTCGAGCTCCGGGTTTATAGGCTGCAAGCTGCAAGGATTCAGTTTAGTCTTGCAGGTTTTTTGGGGTTTAGGGTTTGGTGTTGGACTCGGTTAGACCCAAGCCATCATGACATAACATTTTGGGGTTCCCGTTCGGGCGTTTGGAGCTTAAGGTCAACCCAAGGCCCCAAACCCTAAAAAAGATCTCAAACCCTAAACCCTTTAGGGTTCAGGGCTTAGGGTTTAGGGTATACGGTTCCCTTTTTTAAAACCCTAAAAAGATCTCAAACCCTAAACCCTTTAGGGTTTAGTTTTTTTTTTGGTGGGCCCTTTTCCATCTGCATACACGTCAGGAATTCCTTACCAGGAGGAGCCAGTGTGGGGCCTGGAGGTTGATATACGCAAAATCAATTGACATAAACAGATACCTCAGGCCCAAGGGTTTAGGGTTTAGGGTTTAGGGTTTAGGGTTTAAGGTTCCCTTCTTAAGAAACCCTAAACCTCATCGCTCCATCAGACCCTAAAGGCGAGACACCAGAAATGACCCAACCCAACTGATCAAAAGCCCTTACATAAACAAAGAAGGCCTCTGATAGTAAGGTTTAGGGTTTAGGGTTTAGGGTTTAGGGTTTAGCCCCAAAAAGCTGGGGACCGGATTAAGGACAAACTGTGCAGGGATTCTGCAGATTCCTTATACATGACTCATCAGGATCGAGGCTATTGGGTTTGCAACTTTTGGGCTCCCACTACAAGTATGAATTGTTAAACCCTAAACCCTAAACCCCTTAGGCATTAAGGGTTCTTCAAAGGAAACCTTAAAGGATCCTTTAAAGCCTTAAACCCTTAAGCCATACACTCACAAGACAGGTCCCCTTTAATAAAAGGAACCCTATTAATTAGAGCACCCTTAAAAGGATTGTTGCTATAGTGCCCTTAAAGGGAGCCCTAGTACAGTACACCGAAAGCCCTGAACCCTAAACCCTAAACCCCGAACCCCTAAACCCCTTAAGCCGTACTTCCCTAAACCCTAAACCTCTAACCCCTGAACCCCTAAACCCCTAAACCCCCAACCCTAAACCCCTAAACCCCCAAACCCTAAACCCCTAAAACCCTAAACCCTTAAACCGTACTTCCCTAAACCCTAAACCTCAAACCCCTGAACCCCTAAACTCCTAAACCCTGAACCCCTAAACCTAAACCCCTAAACCCCTAAACCCGTAAACCCCCAAAGCCTAAATCCTAAACCCTAAACCCCCAAACCCTAAACCCCTGAAGCCCTGAACCCCTAAACCCTAATTCCCTAAACCCCTAAACCCCTAAACCCCTAACCCTAAAAACCCTCAGATTGTCTGAGGTCGATGCCATGTCACGAGCAATGGGCCTGGAGTCGCAGTTGTCGGACCCAGAGGTGGGTGGCTA